TATATAAGGTACTATTTAATACATGGGGCATATATAATGCACTATAATTAATGCATTGTAATTAATAATTAATGACATTAATTCATTCTGTTAGTCTATAATTGATATATTGCATATAATGCATTTAATGTTTAATACATAATGTAAAATATATATATATAATGCATTCTATATAGCATATATGGTAGAATATAATACACTATAATTAATACATTCTGCATTAATAATTAATTTGATGAATATATAATTAATTATATGAATCCCATTAAGATATTCTATAATTGATAAATTGTATTTAATGCATTTTGTGTTTATTATATAATATATTGCATATATAATGTATTCTATAGCAAGTACAGGATATATAACACTAGTACATGGAATCTATCATTAATTCATTAATAATTAAATATTAATACATTCTATTAATTGATACCTGGTTTATCATGCATTCTGTGTTTAATACAGTATAAAATATGTATAATGTATTCTATAGCAAGTACATGATATATAACACATTATTGAATTTGTTAGGAATATATAATTAATACATTAATAATTAATTATTAATACATTTTATTAACAGATTCATTAATTGATACCTGGTTTATCATGCATTCAGTGTTTAATACAGTATAAAATATATATAATGTATTCTATAGCAAGTACATGATATATAACACTAAACATTGAATATATAATAAACTAGAATTAATTCATTAATAATTAAATATTAATACATTCTATTAATAGATTCATTAATTGATACATGGTTTATCATGCATTCAGTGTTCAATACATAATATCTATTCCATATATCATACATTCTATATCATATATATGATACATAAAATATATATGACACACTAGTTAATGTATATATATCAATTATAATTATTAATACATTCTATAATTAATTCAATATAAATAATGAGTCACTCGATAAATCCATATTATATATTCTATATAAAACATAACCTACAGAAATATTTGAGATATATATAGAATACATTCTATTTAATGCATTGAATCTATAATGTGTGGCCTATATTTAATGTGGAATATTTTATATCATTTATTATGAGCTAATATTAATTAATATTTCATATGAATGCATTCTATATATTTATATGTTATATAATATATCTATGTGATATTTTTATGTATTATATAGATAAAATATGTATGCATAATTACATATATGTATAATATATATTTATATTTAATATATATAAAATGTAAAAATTGGTTCTATATGATACATTTTGTTTAATACACAATATACATTATATAAAATAGCTTCCATATAAAATACAGAACAATACATGGTACCTATATAATATATATGTGGTTTATATATTACACATATATATTATATATATATTATAAATATATATAATATACTTATTTAACACATGCTATATTACATACATTCAATTTAATTCCATATACATGAATAATTATATAATTGTCTTTATAGGAACACATTCTATATATTCTATATATTCTATTCTCTATATATTTAATTTCATAGAATTTATATATGCTACATATATTAATATGTATTATATATTTAATGTATATAAAACATTTATGTGAATATATTCTATATATCCTATATATTCCAGATGTAATATATATTCCCTATACAAAATGCATATATAATATTTATATGAGCACATTCTACATATTATGTATATTATATATATAAAATATATATATGTTTTATATATAAAAGATATATTAGCACATTCTATTTATTCTAGATACATATTCTATATATCAAATGTATATATATTTCTATGAACACATTCTATATATGACATGTGTTATATATAATATATATGTTCTAGATATAAAATATATATATTAGGACATTAAATTATTAAATATTAATAGAACTTATATAATACATGTATATTCAATACATTAAATATCAATACGTAATATATAATATATAATAATATAATATTATATTATATAATAATATATAATAATATATAATACAATAATATATAATATAGTATTGATTATACATTATTACGTGCCATGAATAATTCATTCTATAGAATGCATTCCATATTATTCCATTATAGAAATACATTATGTATAGAACACACATTATTTAATCCATTCTATATTTAATCCATTAAATATTAATAATTAAACGTTATTACATTCCATAATTAATTCATTCCATAGAATGTATTCTATATTATTCCATTATATAAAGCATACATTATGTATAGAATGCATTCTGTGTATGACACATTATAAATTAATAATTATACATTAATGCATTCCATAATTAATCCATTGTATATTTAATAAATATTAATAATTATCCATTATTACATGCCATGAATAATTAATTATATGCAGTGCATTCTATAATGTCGCATTCTATACATTATGGATAGAGTACACTCTATTTAAAATGCCAATAATTAGGAATACATTCTAATTAACCCATTGTATATTTAATACATTAAATATTCATAATTATCTATTAATACACTCCATGAATAATTAATTATGGACAATGCATTCCATAATGTTGCATTCTATGCATTATATATAGAATACATTCTAATTAATCCACTGTATATTTAATCCATTAAATGTCGGTAATTAGGAATACATTCTAATTAATCCATTGTATATTTAATCCATTAAATATCAATAATTATCTCTGATTCCGTGCCATGAATAATTCATTCTATAGGTTGCATTCCATATCTTTACATTCTATAGATACAGGATGTATAGGATACATTCCATTTAATACATTGTATATTTAATCCATTGAATGTTAATTATAGATGATTACAGTCCATGATTAATTAATTCTATACAATGTATTCCATATTATTACACGATATAAATAATATATTCAATATATAGAATGCACTCTAATTAATCCACTGTACATTTAATACATTAAATAGCAATAATTAGGAATGCATTCTAATTAATCCACTGTCCATTTAATACATTAAATATCAATACATTAAATATAAGTAATTAGTAATACATTCTAATTAAACAATTGTACATTTAATCCATTAAATAGCAATAATTAGGAATACATTCTAATTAATCCACTGTAATAATTAGGAATACATTCTAATTAATCCGCTGTTCATTTAATACATTAAATATCAATATATTAAATATCAATACATTAAATATCAATAATTAGGAATACACTTGAATTAATCCACTGTACATTTAATACATTAAATATCAATACATTAAATATCAATAATTAGGAATACACTCTAATTAATCCATTGTACATTTAATACATTAAACATTATTAATTGGGAATACATATTAATTAATCCACTGTACGTTTAATACATTAAACATTATTAATTGGGAATACATATTAATTAATCCACTGTACGTTTAATACATTAGATATCAATAATGCCATAGGGGTGTGTTGTATCAATAATTCGATATAAATATCAATATATATAAAATATATATAAAAATATAAAAATTATATCAATTATACAATGTATTAATAGATAAAGATAAAATGTATTTATATATATATATAAATACATCAATATATAAATATATCCATGTATTTGTACATATAGTGTCAGGATTTATTATATATAATATAAATATAGTATATAGTGTATGGAATATACTACATATAACATATAATGTATATAATATATAATGTATAATATATAAAGTATAAAATATTAAATGTAATAATGATATAAAATAATGTATAGAATATAATATATGCTATATATAAAATAAATACCTATAGTATCAGGATACATTCTGTGTTTATTAGCTGGTGCATATAGATCGTTCTATAGGATTAATTAATTAGCAATTAATCCGTTCTCCATTAATTTCTTTTCAATTTTATTAATTACGAATTAATAATTATATTAATTAATATTAATATTTTATTGTAAATTGTGTTCCAAATTCTGTATTTATATTTTAAATGATAAATTGATAATTATTTATTGTTAATTCTATTAGAGGCTTTATATTTATATCACAAATTATAAATGAATAATGATAAATTATAAATTGCAGATTTTCTGTTTATATTAAAAATTGTAAATTGATAATTAAGCATTGTAAATTTTATTGCAGACTTTATATTATAAATTATAAATTAATAATTAAGTGTTATAAATTATGTTACAGATTTTATAGTAGGAATTATAATTCTATTATTATATACTATAAATTATATTACAAGGTTTATATTAAAAATTATAAATCAATTATTATAAACTATATTACAGGGTTTATATTAAAAATTATAAATTAAATATTATATATTATAAATTATATTACCGATTTTATATTTTAAATTATAAATGAATGATTATACACTATAAATTATAGATTCTATATTCTAAATTATAAATATTAATTTTATTTTTTTAATTTTTTAATTTAAAAATTAAATTTTTAAATTTTCAAATTTTTTTAATTTAAAAATTTTAATTTTTTTAAGTTTTTAATTTTTGTAGGTCTCAATTAATGAACGATGCTTTAATTTATCCATTAAATAAAGGGATCATGGGAATGGGGAAGGGATCCGGAGGGGATCCCATGGATCCGGTGGGGATCCCAGAGCCGGGAATGGGGAGGGGATCCCGGGGATCCAGAGGGGATCCTGGGAATGGGGAGTGGATCCCAGGGCTGGGAATGGGGAGGGGATCCAGAGGGGATCTGGTGGATCCGGTGGGGATCCCAGAGCTGGGAATGGGGAGGGGATCCAGAGGGGATCCTGGAGATCTGGAGGGGATCCCAGAGCCGGGAATGGGGAAGGGATCCGGAGGGGATCCCGTGGATCCGGTGGGGATCCCAGGGCCGGGAATGGGGAAGGGATCCAGAGGGGATCCAGAGGGGATCCCAGAGCCAGGAATGGGGAAGGGATCCTGGGAATGGGGAAGGGATCCCAGAGCTGGGAATGATCCCGGAATTCCGGGGTTGGGAATGGGGAAGGGATCCTGGGAAAGGGAAAGGGATCCGGTGGATCGGGAAGGGATCCCAGGGTTGGGAATGTGGAAGGGATCCCAGGAATGAGACAGGATCCCAGAGACAGGAATGGAGAAGGGATCGCAGGGATCAGGAAGGGATCCCAGAGCTGGGAATGGGGAGGGGATCCCGGGGATCCGGAGGGGATCCGGTGGATCAGGATGGATCCCAGACGGGGCCGTGTTCCCTCCCGCAGCAGAGCCTGCTGGGCGGGGAGATGGATCTGGCCACGCCCGGAGCGCTGTCCCCCAGCAAACCGGGATCCCAGTTCTACCAGTACGGGGGCAGCGCCCGCCGGAGACCCCTGCACGGCTCCTCCGTGGGTGAGTCATTCATTATCCCAAAAATCCCAGAATTCCCAAAAATCCCAGTGTTCCCAAAAATCCCAGTGTTCCCAGTGACCCCTGCATGGCTCCTCTGTGGGTGAGTCATCCCCGGAGTATTCCCACTATTCGCAGTGTTCCAAATATTCCCAGATCTCCTAGTATTCCCAGCACTCCCAGTATTCCCAGTATTCCCAGAGATCCCAGTGCTCCCATCATTCCCAGTGCTCCCAGTATTCCCAGCATTCCCAGCATTCCCAGTATCCCAAATATTCCCACTATTCCCAATATTCCCAGCATTCCCAGCATTCCCAGTGCTCCCAGCATTCCCAGTATCCAGAGTATTTCCAATATTCCCAGAAATCCCAGTATTCCCAGTGTTTGAGTATTCCCAGTATTCCCAGCATTCCCAGTGCTGCCAGTATCCAGAGTATTCCCATCATTCCCAGTATTCCCACTATTCCCACTATTCTCAGTATTCCCAATATTCCCAGTATTCCCAGTGCTCCCAGTACTCCCAGTATTCCCAGTATTCCCGGTATCCAGAGTATTCCCAGTATTCCCATCATTCCCAGTGCTCCCAGTATTCCCAGTACCCCCAGTATTCCCAGTATTCCCATCATTCCCAGTATTCCCAGTACCCCCACTATTCCCAGTATCCAGAGTACCCCCACCATTCCCATCATTCCCAGTGCTCCCAGTATTCCCAGTATTCCCATCATTCCCAGTATTCCCAGTACCCCCAGCATTCCCACTATTCCCATCATTCCCAGTACCCCCAGTATTCCCAGTACCCCCAGTATTCCCAGTGCTCCCAGTATTCCCATCATTCCCAGTATTCCCATCATTCCCAGTGCTCCCATCCCCTGAATTCCCGCAGGAATCCCATCCCCATTTTTCACCTCTGGAATTCTCCATCCCCTCCCGCCCTTTCCGT